AAGGGTCTTCACCGCCGTGGCCGGCTGAAGGGTCTTCACCGCCGTGGCCGCCCGAAGGATCCGCTCAGCCATGGTCACAACCTCAGCCTGCTCCGCCCTGGCCACGCCTTCAGCCTGCCCCACCACGCCTCCAACCGGCTCCGTCTCGCCCTCAGCCTGCTCCGCCCTGGCCACGCCCTCAGCCTGCTCCGCCCTGGCCACGCCCTCAGCCTGCTCCGCCCTGGCCACGCCCTCAGCCTGCTCCGCCCTGACCACGCCCTCAGCCTGCTCCGCCCTGGCCACGCCTTCAGCCTGCTCCACCCTGGCCACGCCCCGCTCAGCCCCCAGTTCGTCCCCCCTCCTTGCTCTGTTCTGCGGCGTGAGGTCACGCCTCCCGGGAGGGGGGAGTTCTGTCACAGTCCTTCGTCTGCACCATCCTGTCTGCGTCTCCAGCACTACACTTCCCATGATCCTCTCGTCTGCACACCTGAACTCACTCCCTCATCAGCCTCCCATTCAGCGTCCTGTTCATCTGTATCACCTGTCTTCACCTCATTAACCCTGATTCCTCAGTGTATTTAGTTCCCTCTGTTTCATTCTGTCCTTGTCGGTCAATGTTCGATGTTACGCTGTGTACCCCGTCTTCCTGCCTGCATTTGAATTAAAATATATAATCTTCGTTTAAATTTGGATTTCTAGATTTCCAAATTTTTAGATTTCTAATCATCTCAACCCCTTTTTATTAAACTGTCCATAGCAAAAAACAAAAAACAAAAACAAAACACAGATTCTACTTAATTGGAAAGACATAACAGAACTCTCAATAAATCATTGGCTCAATTATTATTAGTGACCACAATTAACTGAATTTGAACATAATATATAGATTCGTTCAAACGAACCTGGTCCCCTTTTTCAATACGTATATTGGAGAACTGATTCCTCTTTGTCATAAACCAAAGACTCATAAGGAACATTTTGTACCGCTTTATTTAATACATGTAGCTTATATCCTGTCAGCTTGTGTCGATTACTTTTCTTATCATAATTTAAATTCTACTGCCCTTAAAATTTGTTGTCTTCTTTTTCTCTTTGTTTCTTTGTTGTCTTTCCAGTATGTCAGTAGGTATTAGAATTTTGTATTTGGTATAAATGACAACAAACTATTTCTATAATAGATAAATAAGTATTACTTAATAATATACTGTTCTACAATTATCTTTAGATTGATGTTATTTATATATTATAATGTTCTATATGCTATACTTTCATTTCTTTTCTAGGCTCTATGTAAATTTGACATATAATTGTTATAGCTATTATTATTGTTAGTGGTGGTACTAGCAGTATTGCAATTTATAATATTGCAGAAAAATGTGTCCTCCATTTCTCTCCCCTTTCTTAAAAAATTCCACATTTCAATTCCCGATTCCAAAACATTATTTATTGTCTGGGTCTGGGTCTCTTATTGTTATTTTGTTTTATTTTATTTATACATGTCATTGGTCTCTTATTTATATAAGCAGCTGTGTCTTGTTAATAATAAAAAAAAGAAAAGTATCATTCTGCCTTAAAACTGATCAACCAGACCAAACCGTATAGGCCTAGAGACTTATAACCTGGCCAGAAGTCTCTATTTGGGGAGACATTGGAGACATTGAAAACATTCTGGATTCATCTGCTTTTATGTACATAATGTGGTTTATTAATAAGGTGTGTACAGAGTTTGATACCACTTTTAATATCACTGTCTCATTGAGCCATGTTAATCGTTTTTCACATTAAGCGTTAGAATGTCCTACATCTTTGCTTCAGCTTTTCGAATAAGTATGATCAAAACATGACAGACTATAGCCTACTGTATAGGCCTATACATTTTATGTGGATAAAGGCATATTCTGTACATGCACATATCCTTATTAGGCCTAGATAATATGTTGTTTAAGCAAATATCTCTTTATTATGAGAAAATATGTTGTAAAAGCGATATAACATCATCTCGTTATTTGGACATAATTGAGTGGAAAAAATAATGTGGTAGCAATCCACCATTGTAGTTTCATGCACAAATATATGTTTGTGTGTTTCACATGTCTGCGCAAGTCTAATGTCAATGCGCAAGTGTTTTAATGTGTTTAGCAAAGTGTTTCGCCCCTGTATCTCATGTATGGGCAAGTCTAATGTAAACAACACGCAAGAGTTTCAATGCGTTTCGTCCCATCCGGGCTCCCGTAGTCCTCTGTTGCCATCTGCTGGTTATAAACGTAATTTTGTACAGTGAATGAGAATGTTCTGGAGAGTGATTTTGTGGCTCTTTGTGATGGTACCATGAGCCGTCGGTCATTGATCGATCGTAGGCTGAGCCAGTGGTTGGTAAGCAAGTATCAACGCCTTGAACTTGATGCGAGCAGCGAGTGGCAGCCAGTGCAGCGAGATGAACAGAGGAGTGACGTGGGCCCTTTTGGGCTCGTTGAAGACCAGACGAGCAGCAGCATTCTGGACCTTTTGTAGAGGTTTAGTTGCACATGATGGAAGTCCAGCCAGAAGAGCATTGCAGTAATCAAGCCTAGAAATAACCAGGGCCTGGACAAGAAGCTGTGTTAAATGCTCAGTTAGGAAAGGCCTGATCTTCCTGATGTTGTGCATTGCAAACCTGCATGATCGAGCTGTCTTTGTAAAATGGTCTGAGAAGGTCAGCTGGACATCAAAGATCACTCCAAGATTTCTGACCAACCTTGATGGGGTGATTGAGGAGGAATCTAGCTGGATAGTGAAGTCGTGCTGTAGAGACGGATTGGCAGGGAGGACGAGAAGCTCAGTCTTAGCCAGGTTGAGCTGCAGGTGATGTTTCTTCATCCATGCGAGATGTCAGCCAGACAGTTTGAGATTTGTGCAGGTTCTGTGGGATCGTCTGTTGAAATGAGAGGTACTGTAGATCTGGGTGTCATCAGCATAGCAATGCTAAGAGAAACCATGTGCCTCTATGATGGGTCCCAGTGATGTGGGGTAAATGGAGAAGAGGAGCGGTCCAAGAACAGAACCCTGGGGAACCCCTGTGGTGAGTTGATGTGCTTTGGATACCTCACCTCTCCATGCGACCCTGAAGGACTTACCTGTGAGATAGGACTCAAACCAGTGGAGGGAAGTTCCAGTGATGCCCAGTGATGAGAGGGTGGACAGAAGGATCTGATGGATCACAGTGTCGAATGCAGACAGATCCAGGAGAATGAGAACTGATGATTTGGAAGCAGCTTTTGTGATCTGCAGGGCTTCTGTGACTGACAGTAATGCGGTTTCGGTTGAATGCCCTTTCTTGAAGCCTGATTGGTTGACATCCAGCTGGTTGTTCAGAGACAGGAAAGATGATACTTGGTTGAAAGCAATTCGTTCAAGTGTTTTAAAAACACTTGAACGAGTTGCTTTCATTATAAAAACATGTAAAATCACATTTTGTACTGAGCTCTCACACAATGATTAATGTGTGAAACCTGAAAATGGTGATATACATTTATGCATTTGGCAGACGCTTTTGTCCAAAGAGACTTACGTTGCATTTCAAGATAAACATTTTTATCAGTTCTTGCTTACCCTAGCTGGGAATCAAACCCATGACCTTGGCATTGCAAGCGCCAACACTCTGTTTTAGCTACAGGAGATTGTTTGACCCTGATGTGATCCAGAGGAGATTTGCTGAAAGCTTTTTGTTACATATAATTTATTTCAAATCTACATCTGCAACAACATGTGTGTGTGTAAGAATGCTTGGTGTGTATTAAGTATTTCTGTTTAAGCCTTTCATTCTTTTGTGTGGATTTTTGTGCGTGCAGTCAGCCTTACATTTTGTGTGGTGGCCTAGATGGCGTGAAGGTCTTAAGCAGCTGAGATATGAAGAAATTGCAGCTATATTCATGAATTAAACTTTCAAAGGTGGAAGATTGTGACAGGCACACACACACACCACACAAGTGTGTTTACGTTTTTTGTTTGTTACAATTTTGTTTACTTCTTTACCTTTCCCTATAATTTCACAAAACATAATTAATTTATACATTAACACTATTTTTCCTCAGATGATCAATATGCATTTTTCAAATTGACTGGTGAATAATTCTGATAGGGTTGTTGTCCTTATTAATCATTAATTTTAGTCACAGTATTCAATTGTTTGCATTACTATATTTAGAAGCATTAAGAGTGTGAAAACTAAAATTAAAATAAAATAAAACAAAAATTCCTTTTGGAAAATTTAGTGCATTAGTTCAAGTATCTTTATTCACAAAACTTTTAAGGTAGGGGAAAGAAAGAGAAAACATATTTCAATGCAAAGTTTGCAAAATGCAAGCGTCCGCTTTTTTCTATCTATTTTTACTTTTATTTCTTAGGGGGCTCCCAGGATCCATATTCGTTAGATTATTTGTAAATTAATGTAAATGGAAAATGATTCTAAAATAGAGTTTTCAAAAGGACTTTTCGCGCCATCCCCCCACCTCCCCCACCCCCTCTCTCTCTCTTCCCCCCTTCTCTCTTTGCATCCTTCGTACGTGCACATCCACACTAGCTTCATGGCTTTACACAGGCAAACAGAGCGAACAGGCGAACAGAGTCCAACCACTTTCAAGACGCGGGTGGAGCTCTTTTTTTCAAAAACACATAAAAGCGATATATAATTGTATCAGCTGAGATATAGTACATGAGAGTCCACTTTCAAAAATCAAAATGCAAAGTGTGATGCGGAAATTACTTGAAATATAGCAGAAAAGCGGAAAGTAAGTGCGCTGAAAATGGTTCATTCCTAAAGTACGACGTGCAAAACCGAACGCGCCGCACCCCGCTATAACACTCAGAAAATCCACCAAGAACTGATGGTCATGGACACGCCCTCCTGACGCTGTAATTCGATAATACAATTTAATAGGCGGGGTTTCAATGAAGGGCTCGGTCGACTATTGGCTAACTATCACGTCAATCAAACGCTGTTTTGCATAAGCAGGTCAGGTTGACGTTGCAGGGGAGTGGGCAGGGTTGGGCTAGCCGAACTTCTCCGCTGGTGTAGTTGACTATCCTCAATTTAATACTTTATTTGAGAAATTATTTACTTTGCGTGTGTTTTGATAGGACACCATTAAGGAATGTTGGTTTTGCTCTTCTCCGAGTAATTAATGGGTTTATTGGGAAGTTAAGGTGAGTAAGTGTGTCTTTTAGCTCTAATTGTCTGTCAAAATCTAATTGTTATCAGTTTATTTGAACATGAACAGATAACCTTGCATAATTGTATACTTTAATATTTCAGCTTTATTGTTCTTGAATGAGACATATATAGCGATATGTATCATCAATATTTTAAAATGAGACTTATATAACGTTAATGAATCAAAACATGGTTGGAAAATGCCTTATTCATATGTACTAACATATTCATATCCATAAACCATGGTCGAATAATCGTTTAGATTATTTATAACTCTTATAATTATCATTTATAATTATAAGAAAGACTTTTGTATATATGCATATCCATCAGTACAGTTGCCGAGTGATGTGCTATAACGTTATATGTATTCGGACATTGACAGTGATATTCTCCGGACTCGTGGGTTCCTGTGGCTTCTGATTTCTGAAAGCAGGTAAGCCACTGACTAACGCACATTGCGCCTGTTCTCCACTCCACTGTGCGTGTGACAGCGGCTAACCAGCTTTTGGATGTGTGCCTGACTCACTGGGACTGTCCCACTGGAGACTCCTGAACGGACACAGCCAGGGGAGCGACACTTCTGGCTCCACTGGCCCTCGACGAGTCTTTTTGTTCCTGTTACTCAACTGGTAATTCTCTGTGCGTGAAATCAAGCCTGTTCGATTCCCATGAGCACGTGTCCCGAATAAATGCACGGTGATCAATGTATACAGTAAATGTACATGTTGAATGACACCAGACAGTCACAGTTGTTTTTTCTGGTACTTTTATATGCAATAATAATGTTACTAATATATTTTGCATGCAATCTTCAGCAGCTCTGAACTTCTGAACCTGTAGGTACAGTAATACAAGTCCAGTTACAGTAGCTGTGGGAGTGTGTGTCTCTGTGTCAATTGAAGCAACTTTGAATCAACAGTGTGACAGTCAGTGTTATCTTCCATTCATTTATCATTAAACTTTCATTTTGTTCACTCTCTTCAGTTTTGGTTTTGTACATTATGTGGTTTAGACGTCGAGGTTTTCATGATACAGTATGCCAATCAAATTAAATATAGAAATTACAAACTAAATCTAAACGTTTCCATAGTATCTCACAAAAGTGAGTACACCCCTCACATTTCAGCAAACATTTTAGTATATATTTTTAAGAGACAATATAGAAATTAAATTTGGATATGTTTAGACTAGAGTAGCCTAATCACTGTACAGCTTGTAGCAGTGTATATTTACTGTCCTCTGAAAATAACTCAACATACACTGTAGCTGCATGGCAACAAAAGTGAACATGTCAAAACTCTCCAAGTGTCAATATTTTGTGTGAGCACCAGTGTTATCTAGCCATTGTATTATTTAATTTAGTTATATAAAAAATCCTAATGTTTCAGAATACAAATATGCTTTTAGCAACAGAATATTAAAGGTTATGGTGAGCTTGTGCTAAAGAAACGAGTAATATGACACTAAGTTATTTAAAAAAAAAAAAGTCTTGTAAAGCACAAACTGCACTTTAAATTACATAAATCTCACTAAATTTAGTTGATTTATGGATACATGTTGGAGTTTGAGGTCCAACAAATGTGAATTCTGCCTCCTAACATTAAATCAAATTTCCTGCAATCGATTCTTTCTAATATCTAGCCGTTATTGGGAAATATGTAACTGAAACATCATTATTGTGTGTCGGATTGCATTAGCGCTGTTAGTGGCTCTGGTCCACCCAAGGGAACTAAGCACAGATTAGAGATTTGATTTGATTGAATCACTTTTGAATCTGCCTTTTTGTTGTGATTAAACCCCCTTGGTGTATTTATGTAAAAAATATGAAAAAAAAAAAAAAATTCTCATTAATGTAAATTCATGAGCCACGCCTTTACGCGTGTATATCCGTGTCTATCCTATATAGTTCCTGCTGACAGCCATGAGAGGATTGGAGGCTTATCTACTATGGCATAAGTTCCTTGATCTTATCTGTATATAATCCACTTGCGTAGTTATTCAATTCAATTCAATTCAATCTTTATTTATATAGCGCCATTACAACACCCAGAAAGGTGCACAAAGCGCTTTCCATAAAATACATAAAAAGATAAAAGTATATAAGAATTGCAAGATAAAGCTAATCAAAGCAATCAACATAATAACTAACACAACCACTAAAAACAAAACAAATGATTACGTGTTAAAAGCCTTCCTGAAAAGAAATGTTTTCAATTGTGATTTAAAAACACTAAACACAGTTATGTTACGTAGGGTAGCAGGTAAGGCATTCCATAAAGTAGGACCCTGGATGGCAAAAGATCGGCCTCCAAACTTTTTGTATCTACACTTGGGGATAATCAAAGAGGTGCTCTGAGAGGAGCGGAGGGTTCTGGCAGGTTGGTATATAGTGAGCAGCTCAGAGAGGTATGCCGGGGCCAGACCATTAATGGCCTTAAAAACAAACATGAGGACCTTATACTCCACCCTATAACGTACCGGGAGCCAATGAAGTGAACAGAGGACGGGGGTGATATGAGTATGTTTATGGACATTTGTAAGGAGACGGGCTGCTGCGTTTTGAACCATCTGAAGACGGTTGAGTAGAGATTGGTTAAGCCCAGTGTAGAGGGCATTACAGTAATCTAGCCTTGAGCTGATAAATGCATGAATGGCTCTTTCTAGATCAGCACGGGACAGGAATGATTTCACCTTACTGAGGAGCCTCAGCTGGAAAAAGCTAATCTTAACTACTGCACTAATCTGTTTGTCAAAATGCAATCTATTGTCAAGAGCAACACCTAGGTTACGTACAGTGGATGCAAACTGGGGCGTGAGAGGGCCAAAATTAAGAGAGCTACAAGGTGAGTCCGGGGTGAAAAATATATACTCAGTCTTACCTTCATTCAAATGAAGAAAGTTTTGAGAGAGCCACCGTTTAATGTCCTGGATGCAGTTATGGATGGGATCTAATGCTGAATGTTTATTCAAGACTACAGGAAGGTAGACTTGTAGGTCGTCAGCATAGAAATGAAACTGAACTTTGTGTTTAGAAATGAGTTGACCTAGTGGCAGCATATAAAGAGAGAACAGTAAAGGACCAAGAATAGAGCCCTGGGGCACACCAGATGATAAAGGGGCAGCTGAAGAGGAGAAGTCATCAATCATTACTGAGAAGGATCTGTTGGTGAGATATGACGAGAACCATTTTAGCACCGTGCCCTGTAGACCCACAACATGTTGGAGCCGGTCGATGAGTTATTCATGATATCAAAACAGCCAAGCTAAAGAGAACAACTCAGACAAACACATAAATCAGGGTTTTTTTTTTAAAACAGAATCATGCTTTATAGTGAAGTGGAGGAACAGATCTGTGATATTGTGGCGAGTTTTTTCCTGTTATATTAGTATAGGACAATTCTGGGTTTAGATTAGTGTCTCCTAAACTTAATTCCAAGAACCATATTTGATCAAACCAGATTCAGACCATATAAGTTAACACGAATAGGGGATGATGTAAGAATGTAATAAATAAATAAAAATGTTTATTACAATTCCAATTTATTAGAATAATAAAAACAAATCAACATTAATGAAAATACAGCTGAAACTCAAAAAATTAGAATAATGTGCAATTCATTTCAGTAATTCAACTTAAAATGTGAAACTAATGTATTATATAGACAAAGTGAGATATTTCAATCCTTTATTTGTTATAATTTTGATGATTATGGCTTACAGTTTATAAAATCCCAAATTCAAAGAACATTGTGAAAAGGTTTTCATAGCTGCCATAATCATCAAAAAAATCATAACAAATAAAGACTTGAAATATCTCACTTTGCATTTAATGAGTCTATATTAGTTTCACCCTTTAAGTTTAATTAATGGAATTAATGATCTTTTGCACAATATTCTAATTTTTCAAGTTTCACCTGTATTTATACTTTTGAAATAAATAAATAATATATTAATATTATGTATATTAAATGGAAAATTTATTGTAGTAAAATATAATTATACAAGCATATAGATAAAAATAACTATATATATATAAATATATATATAAATATATACAGTATATATACACACACACACACACACACACACACACACACACACACACACACACACACACAAATGTTTATTTATGGAGGTCAGAACAGCTAAGTATAATATTGTGCAATTTGTTTTACTCAAATTATCTTAATAATGTGTGTATAATAATAATAAATAAGTGAACTTTGGACCCCACTGTATACTCTGTGTCATCTTAGAAAAATTATATTTAGTTAGTTTTTGTTTTTTAAATGTCTATATGGTTTCATTACTCTTTTCCATTTTAGTAGTTATTTTAGTACATCAATTAAACCAAATAAAAATGAAAAGCTGAATAATTTATAGTAACACTCAACAGTAAGGTCCATTAGTTAATGTTATAATCCATTAACTAACAATGCATGAGAAACATATTTGTATTTGTTCATGTTAGTTCTAAAAATACAACTGTTTCATTTTAGCGCAGGTCCAGATAATATGAACAGATACAACTTTTGATTTTAATCATGTATATAAATTGTTGAAATTAACATTAAGTAAGACTAATAAATGATTTAGACGTATTGTTTTTTTAATGTTATCTTAACTAATGGTAACCAAATGTAACCTTATTGTGAAGTGTTACTTTTATTTATATTTTATTTCAATCACCAATTTTCATGGTTTTAGTTCTAATCTAAACGAATAACATGGTAGACTGCAGTTGTGTGATTTAAACACTCATTTTAGCCTATAACATGTATATTATTAACCCAGTGTAAGAAAACATCCTGTGTGTTTGCTTTCTCTTAACATCTGAACTTTGTGAATCAGTAATGAAGAGTCCCGTCGAAAACCATCAAGAGCAAGTCATCTAAGACACAATGCACAGTCTTTATTAAATACATAAACAAAAGTAAAAGTCCTCGAGATAAAATCTGGTAATATTTTACAGTAAATACATGTTTTTTTGAAATGTACCAAAAAGTAGTAAATATATCATTAATATATATATATTCATATATACAGGATATATATGACATGAACTGTTATACTGATGCCAGTTAAGATGAATTTAAGCAGAAAGCCACTCTACATCCTTAGCCCTGCTTCAGGTTTATTACCGCCAAGACGATTCCCTGGAAGTCAGGACTGCAAGACACATAGAAAAGTACACTGAGTGAGGCTGTTGGGTTTAGAAACCATGATAGGTACAAAAATACTTCATCTGTGGAGGTTTCAGACACACTCCCATGCACACAGCAGCCGAGAGAACAGAGGAAAGTCCACACACCTCACTTAGCAGTCACTAAACCAGAAACTCAGTCTCACGGAGGAATATGTAATATAGCACAAGGCATCGATAATGTGTGGGAAGGATGAATTCGACATCATCGGTTCTTTGGAAATAGCGAATACACACAGAGACGTCCCAACAGTCCAACAGGTTTATCCCCGATAGTAGCAGATACAGACCAGAGAAACACTTGTGAAACATCTACTGATGATATTCTTGTCATTTTTATCTTGCTTGCTCATCACAGGAAGGTTTCTCCTTAGTATAAGTATCTAGCCACTGATTCTTCTTTTAAAAAAGTCCCCAGCTTTGTAATCGTTTGAAAGCATCAGAGTGGAAAAGTTTATATTTTGAATACTTGTAAATGCGGATCAGATGCCACAAACGAGATTCTTTCAAAATGAATCTTTTATGTACACTGTATAGTTGTTTAAGCAGACAAGAGATATTAACATGTCACATCATTAGTCGTGTTAAAGTGATAGATCACCCAAAATTGAAGATTTTGTCTTGATTTATTCACTCTCATGATGTCCAAACCTATATGATTATCTTTATTCCATGGAAAACAAAAGGAGATATTTCGCGAAATGTTCAAGCTGCTGCTTTTCCATTCGAAACCATATATTAACCAGTGGCAAGATTCACAAAACATTCTTAAAGGGACAGTTCACCCGGAAATGAAAATTCTATCATCATTTACTTCATTTCGTCCCAAACACGCGAGACTTTGGTTCATCTTTGGAACACAAATGAAGATATTTAAATGAAACCTCCATTGACGGCCTACGCAACTACCATTTTGACGCTTCAAAAAGTTCATAAAGAGACCGTAAAAGTTTAGCCCAAGTTTTCTGAAGAGACACGATCGCATTTATGATGAAAGGATTGAATTTAGGCTTTTGTTTACATAAAAACATTGATCAGATGTTGTAAGTGCCTATATGTGAATAAAAGACTAAATCTGTTTATTTTATAAAGTGATTCTGTCTCCAGAAAATTTTGACTAAACCACTCAATACAAACTTTTTGAAGCGTTAAAGTGGTAGTTGCATAGTATTTCAAAAGGAGGACAGAAATCTCTCAGGTTTCATAAAAAACAAACTTTATTTGTGTTTCCGAAGATAAACGAAAGTCTTACGTGAGTAAATTCATTTTGGGGTGAACTATCCCTTTAAAAGCTCATCACTGGGAAAATGTTCAGTTACATGGAAGAAAGGTATATACCTTTGGAACCCCAAGTAAAGTAAATGAAAACTGAATTTTTATATATAAGATGAAGTATACCTTTAAGAACACACACACAGAGAGAGAGAGAGAGAGAGAGAGAGAGAGAGAGAGAGAGAGAGAGAGAGAGAGAGAGAGAGAGAGAGAGTGAGAGAGGCACTATAAATCAGCGAAACAGGGCTGAAAACAACACAATGTAAGGACACCAAACTGGGACAGAAGAGCGTAAAAAAAGAAGAGGTATGTAGAGCTCAAAGAAACACAGAAGAAACACTTTAGTTTGCGAATTTGAAGTCAAATTGCATCTTCATAAGCAAACATACCTCAACTAGACTTCAACAAAAGTTGTTATCAGCTTGTCAAGATGTAATTTGGAACCAGCCCACTATCCCTTAAACTAAAGTGTTGAAGAACACAGGTCATGGTAACACTTCTTAATGAAAGGCACTACATACTGACAATGTAATATGTAACATCCATATTTACAGACCCAAGTAGTTCAACAAAATCAGCATATATTGTACATTAATAATACTAATATACAGAGACTGTATATATCGGTAATATTGTGTAAATCAGTTGATGCAATGCCTTTCAGGTAAAGTGCTACAATAATCAGGCATGTTGAAGGAAAGAGTGCTGTTAAGGGAGAGGGGGGGCACCATGCAGGCACTGTCCCGCTGGGGTTGAGGAGCAGGGAAGCAGCAGCGGGAGTCTGTCACACATACACACCCTCAGGGTTCAGGCTGGACACCAGCGGGTGCTGCAGGTTTCGAGGGTGACCAAGGAAATGCTTAGCAGTGGCACGTGGGGGGGAATCTGTGGCAATGAAATATGGGGTCAAATATACAACAGCAACATCATATAAACACACATATCTGTGCTGGCCATATAATGACCATAGTACTGTACTATTTGTGCAGTATGCTATGTGTATTCATGGAATGTATGGAGTGTACAACCAAAAATCATTAAAAGAAATGCTGTATCCCACAATGCAACCCACTTTTTAATTCCAGCTGAGATGTCTCCTTCTTGATCAATATTCCTTGACCAATTTTCACGTTACTCTAATATTTAAATCCAAGAAGATGACCAAGCGCTATTTTTCTAATTAAATATGCATAAACAATAATGACTGGGTAATATGACAACAAAGTGAGACAATTTACCATTACATATCGCATACTGATTCACAAGTTCACAATAGGGAATGCCGTGATATGAAAATTTTGGCTGATACCGATAACCGATAATTCTTTATATTTGAAAGCCGATATATTGGCCGATAATTCTAAATCCAAATCTTTATATAACTTTTGTGAGTCAAAAGTCTTACCATTAAAAGCCTGTCCAAAGCACACAATTATAATGCTCTTATTATAATTTTATAATGTTACACTTTTTTTTAAAGCGATTCCTATCTTATTTCAAGCAAGGCGAACAGCTGAAGGAAATTATCAATTATTTATCGACTTTAATATTTCGGCCAAATGATCTTATCGGGCCGATAACAATAGCATAAAAATTTACATGTATCGGCCGATAACGATATGGTGGCCGATATGTTGTGCATCCCTAGTTCTGAATGAAAAACTTGTCCACAGTGCAGTATATACAGTACACTGCCTACTATTTAAAAAATACCCTGTCAAACAGTATGCATTATGCAAAGATAAACATTTAAAACAGTAGTATGCAATGCTACTTTATCTCATAATATTATGTTTAATATAGCGAGCATCATCTAGTTATCCTGTTGGAGATATTTTTGTTTTGTATTAAAAAATCTTAAAATGCAGGCTATACTGTAGCACGCTAAAATAAATACGAAGATTAGTATGGTAGTATGCTATTACAAATTTAGCCTTTAAAAACAGCAGATTATGTGATTCCAGTTACCACATCACTAACACAATGTATTGTAGGATATACTATTCTGTAGTGTTTATTTTGTATAGTGAACATTATAAATCAGTAAATCATTTGGGTATTCCAAGTATTTGTGCGAATACACACTATAGTACTATGTTAGTATGCAACTAGTGGGTAGACGGCATACTACCAACTAGTTGCATACTAACATAGTACTACAGAGTGTATTCGCACAAATACTTGGAATACGCAAAAGATAAGTGTAGTATGCAGTAAACTGTATGCTAGTTTTCATTTTTATACTCTGCCAGGCCATTAGATGGCGATGAAACACTAAAGACTGAACACGTAATACGCACAACCGACACATCCTGAATTTTGTCCCCGCCTCCTTTTGGGGGAGAACAAACTAGACTCCCCATAGACTTCAATACAAAATAGCGGCAAGAATCAACGCCCGTACACTGCCGACAGGCGTAAATTACTTAAGAAATCACTAATATAAAACATGTCAAGTAATTATATGTCCACCCTGCCTGCCATAGAGCGTGAAAGATATAATTACTTGACATGTTTTATATAAGTGATTTCTTAAGTTAGTTTCGGCTGTGTACGAACGTTGGTTTTTGCCGTTATTTTGTATTGAAGTCTATGGGGAGTATAGTTTGTTTTCCCCAAAAGGGGACGGGGACAAAATAGACAGTTAAGTTCCCAGATGTGTTGGTTGTGCATATATGCACATGCATGGTGTCATCATCTTCAGAGATTTGTCGTTTTTGTTGTTTACACAGAGACCGTTTTCAAAGGTTTGCGTTTTAGGCACCCAAAACGCTGTTTTTGTGTAAACGAACGGCCAAAACACAATTTTTTTTTTTAGGTTTTTAGTTGAAAACGCTGTTGTGTAACCAGACCCGTAGTGTGTGCAGGCCATACCATTGTGTTTGTCCTGCTGTTGTTGAGTCAGGTCCAGTTCTTCTGGGTGTTCATTAAGGTCTGTGCGGGATTGAGTGTGGGTGGGCAGGGCTCCAGCCTGCTGGATAAACTGTTGTAAATTACACTGTCTGAGCTCCTTATTCAACTCCTCCACTTCCTCCTGCTTTGCCTACACACAGAGAGAACAGACCATCACAAACATCCTGCGGACTAAAATCAAATCAAGTACAGTTTAAATCATTATGAAGATGAATTATTCAACTCAGTCAGTTGCTGCACTGTATGTTGCTAAGAGTCCTAAAATGGCCAACAACCTACTTTCGGATACATTTGAGATTTTTTGCATTTATTATTATCAATTATTTAAGTAGTACCTTTAATGTAAAGGTACACACATGTACGATGTTCACACATGTAAACCTTTCGTTTTAATCTTGTGAATATCTGAATACTTCTAATTCCACCAGCAATCACAAGGGGGCGCCATGTTTCAGCAGCAACAACAGCCAAGGCAGTAGGTTTGTGCCCTGCGGCTCTGTTTACAGTAATCTCAGGATTTGTCCTCTGTGTTTGTTTGACACCTTTACGGCTGTAGGTTTCATGTGTTTAACAAGAGAAGCTAAATTAAAATGCAGACAAGTCAAAGGTAATCACAAAGTATGTGACACAAGTAATCACTTGAGTTTCTATTCACAACAAACTATGATAATTCACCGTGTGGTCGCAGAGGAAGAGCAGCCTACTTCACATGCAAGACTCATCCAACGGGAATAGATTTTGATTATGTAAGATCCGGTTAGTCATGGTTGATTTTCTTGCTTTTTGGAAGAAGGAAGATTTTTGAGTGGCACTGTGATATGTAGTAGTTCATATCATCTTCACAGACCTGGAAGTCTTTGATTTAAGTCACTGGAAGAGTGAAATATTGAAATGTCTGGTGCATAATTATCTACAGTGTGAAATTCATACATGCCTAGCAGGAAAGGAAACTCATTTAATAGGTGTATACCTTTATTTTGTCCTTTCAAGGCATAAAATACACAGAAAATAAAATAAATGTATGCGTCTCCAAATAAAAACATTAGTTTCTGTGCACAGAAAAGTAGGTTAAAAAAAAGACTGAGTGTGAACATCTGAATCATTTCAAAAGGTGAGCTCCTTTGTTCACTTTCAGATTTTCAGTTCATTGCTCGTACGCCCTTTGCCTGAGGGGACAGTAAAACCTGCCAGGATTTTGCAGCCAACAGCTATAAACCTCTTTCTTGAGCCACGCCCTCTCTGCTTACCTTCAGCAGAGTCTCCGCCCTCCCCAAAGCCTTCTCAAGCTCTACAAGTTCTGCCTCCAAGTCCTCCCCCTGCTTTTGTCGACTTTGAACATCTGCCTTGACTACCCCCAAAGAGTCTTTTGAATCGGGCTGATTGGGCAAGGTGTCCACCTGTAGCATTTCCCTCTGAACGTCCTTTTCAAGTTGAATTGCGCGAGTGTTGAATTCATGCAACTTTTGCCCACAGTCGTCCAGTTTGGCACGCAGCTCTCCTAACCGCCGCTTCATCCCGCGCTCCCTCTCGGTCTCTAGCTTTAGTTCCTCCTCCCAGAACTCCTCGTCCACCAACTCTTGCTGGTTCTTCCACAAGGTACTTTCCAAGACTTCCATCTCTGCCTGCAGGGACGACTCCTCTGTAGACGCCTGGTCCCAAGTCTCGCATTCCCTGTCCAAGTCCACCAGCTGGGACTCAAGGGCACGGAGCTGCTCCTGCTGCTGGAGAACATGCCGAAACACCTCCTCTTTAGATGGCGCCGGAAGGTACGCCGTGTGAGGAACTGGGGATGCCCTCTGTTCAGGAGAGGGTGTTTTACGAGCTTTTGTATGAGGAGAACAGGAAGGACCCAGGTTGAAGGTTAAGGATTTCTTCGGTAGTCCCCGTTTAGGTTCTGACGTGGATGGCTTGGAGTGAGGGAGGGTGCGGCTGTGCAGACTTTTATCTTCACTGCTGCTGGGACCGGTCCGCCGCAGGAAGAACTGCACCTCACTGCTATGTTGGCCCAGTTTGGCCAGGGACTCCAGTGGGCGCTCATTGGCCAGAAGCTGCCGCTCAGTGTCCCTCAATCTCTGAATGAGAACGTAACGACCCGTCTGGCCTGTAGAGAGCACAGGGGTAGTTAGAGTCCAAAAAAAAAGCACTACAACTACTTACTTTTCTCTACCCTTTCTATGTGGACAACCCCCTTGGATCTGGGGGAACTGTCCTAGGGTTAAGTGTCTTGCTCAAGGGCACTATGGCAAGGGTTCATTGACCATCACTTTGTTGGCTTCCAACCAATAATAATCTACTGGTTGTCCAACCTAGATCTAATGAAATGCATCTCGATAGCACGCATTGTGTTTATCGTGCAATTTATACCACTGTAAACCCCTTGGGTAGGATTAGTGGTGTGGGGCACATGCGTATTATACATTTGGGTAGGATTAGTGGTATTGCACACCATAAAGTGTGTATCATATGCATGTAAAAACGAATTTTCGTGCATAAATTGCATAATAAATACACTGCATGCTATAGAGACTAACATTCTTTGAATGACTAACCTCACCTCATTAAGTTCATTCTCAGAGGTACTTACCAATGGCTTGGGCGAGTGCAATGACTACATCCTGGCATGACGTCTCTTCCGACAGGCCGCAAACCACTCGTACAACTCCATCCACCCAAACTTTCAGCTCCATCAGAGACACAGGACACAGATCAGCTTACATCAGCAATGCATGACAATGTCTGGATTCTGAAATGACAAAACAGCAATAGTGACAAGTTAACGCAATATGTTTTGATGGTCTGAAAAAGATTCAATAATCCATTGTCATTTTTAGTGATACCTTGCAGGTGATTCAACAGTTTTTTAAAACGTTTTATTTTTAAGTTGGCGGCATCCTAAAAAAAGCGACGCCCATGGTACAAGATGCAATACAATGGCCGAGGACATCCATGTGACATACATTCGCATAGAACAACTAACAAAACAGTGCACAAGAATCCATGGCCAAAACCCAAAGTACTGGAGCCCTTAGTTAAAGGGGCGTAGTTTTGAGGTACAGAATTAGGGTATTAATTAAATATGTACATCACACGTTCAGAGCTTTAATACATTCTAAGTTTCCCTCTGAACTGAATGGACCAATTATCAGCGCAATATGACTGAAGCCTGGTTTATTTAATTGTGCATCTGTGGCCTGCAAAATATGATCTAAAACAGCCACATAAATTAAAAAGAAAAATGAAAAGAGGAAAGAAAATAATCTTGCACCAACATAAATTAGAAAAATTAAACTTAATCTAATCTATTCATGACCAACAAGAATTGATCACATTGTGTATTGTATTTATCGTGGTAAATTCTGATTAACTTGTATTAAATTTATAATCAATAATCTGTTATTGAAATATATTGTTCTACTATTACAACAGTGGCATGTTGTAGCTATAGTTTCTAAATGTGTAGGTTGCTATTTTTCACAACAAAAGCTATACAGTAGATCGATAAAAAACATTGGGCTACTAAGGAGACATAAATGGTCTCACCTATAATTATAGACTTATTGTAACAAATGATAGAGCTAAACAATTAAAATAACTAGTACAGTTTCATAAGGGCAAGTATAGCTCATTATGAAGTGTTAGAATCAAGAGCTTTAAATATATTCTTGATTTATTAACCAAACAATCAGTTTTCCCCATGTGTAAAAATGTGTTGTGACTTACAAGAAAACCTGACTTCAGAGATTCATCATGGCCGAAATCATTAAAAGTCTGATAAATTGTTAAAGGAGTAATTAACTTAATAATTTACTCACCCCCATGTCATCCAAGATATCCACGTCTTTCTTTCTTCAGTTGAGAAGAAATTAAGGTTTTTGATGAAAACATTACAGGATTTTCTCCATTTAATGGACTTCATTGGGAACCAAACGGTTCAAGGTCCAAATGAGAGTTTCAGTGCAGCTTCAAAGGGCTTTAAACGACACCAGACGATGAATAAGGGTCTTATCTAGGACCCTTTGAGTCATGACTTGTAAAAAGATTTGTTCATTTGGATGAACAAGTTTGAACAGGTGAGTCACAAGCACGCATCACAGAAGAGAGCAAGGCGAGCATTTGTGCATATAAAACAAACTTTTTTATTTATTTTTTAAAAGACAAATTGTTTTGCTTGATAAGACCCTTATTCATCGTCTGGAATCGTTTAAAGCCCTTTGAACAGTTTGCACTGAAAGTGTCTTTTGGACCTTGAACCGTCTGGTTCCAACTGAAGTCCATTATATGGAGAAAAATCCTGGAATGTTTTCATCAAAAACCTTAATTTCGTTTTGACCGAAGAAAGAAAGACATGGACGTCTTGGATGACATGGGGGTGAGTAAATTATCAGCAAAGGTTTTTTTTAAAAGTGAACTACTCCTTTAAGGAGTAGGAAATAAACAATTTCAAAGTAAAGTTAGTTTGACTTTCCATGGCACTTTGAAGTGGAAAATTCTGTCAAACTGATAAGGTCCCACATTCTTAAATACAAAACAGCTACATCATATATCCTATGTAAACAAGTAATTGTTAACTAGGCTATTACTTTATTGGAGTTATGTTATCAACCAACTTTGCATGTGTGGATAGGTAGAAAAATCCACAAAAGACCATTTTGCAAAAATAAATCAAACAAACAAACAAATCTACCGAAGCTTCCTCTAAAGCCCCGAGACCCTAGTAAAAAGGTTCACTCTTCAATGTTCAGACCAAAACTACGTCCTCATGGAGTGTGAGAAGACAAACGGCCAAAGTCCCAATCTCTAAGTCTAAACTTGTCAAACAAGCTCCATAAAGAAAAATCAAGCTATTTTCTACTTCAGTTGTTTCTACCTGATTGCTCAAACTCTGCAGGATATCCAGCCATGAGACATGAAATCATGATTGAACATCAGGTCCAGTGGGTAAGCAAATTTCAAGAGTTATTATTAGCAGGAGGTTGATGGACTCATAGCTCTGCTCCAATTAACTGCACTGCTGGCTCTCTTCAAAGGCATTTTAGCAGATGAATGCTTAAGGGAACAGACAGGCAGAACTTAGTTGTTCAGAGACTGCATGTGCTTGCATGTGTTTCTGACTCCACTTTGAAGCCCCACAGCAGGAACAGATGGCACTACTAAGGTAAGGTGTAGCATCTGAACGTTTTAGCCGTGCAGTTATTGAGCGAATCCCAGTTTGTGAGATTAATAAGAGTGAGACAAAATGAATGTTGTCTCTGTGCACTTTTGACTGTTACGTATTACAGGCTTTGTGAGGAAATTCTACGGTAAAGTCTACTGCATTAACTAAAGAAAACAAACAGTGCTGAGATACAAAGCAGACCATTTAGCAGCTGGTAAGTACTAGATGATGGATGCTCTATCTCTAGGCCTGAAAGTCCAGTTTAACAGAGAATAAAGAGAATGAGGGTGAGAGGAGCAGGAACATGCCTGGGTCATATTTTGGCTTCCAAATCTAAATATATAATGTACTGTATATAAATATCTTTTTGTTATGCATTGTGTGTGGGTATATATACACACTCACCTAAAGGATTATTAGGAACACCTGTTCAATTTCTCATTAATGCAATTATCTAATCAACCAAACCACATGGCAGTTGCTTGCATGCATTTAGGGGTGTGGTCCTGGTCAAGACAATCTCCTGAACTCCAAACTGAGGCCCTGTTTACACGATGGGAAAACGCAGATATTTCTCTGCGTTTTGCCCTCTCATTTACACGAAAACGCCGTTTTTATCATAGAAAACGATTATTTCTAAAAACTCCGGGCAAAGTGGAGCTTCTGAAAACGCCGGTTATGTGTTGTCGTGTGAACTGGGAGAAACAGCGTTTTGGTTCTCTCTTGTCGATTCTGAGGATTCTGATGCATGTGAAAATTAACACTACAAAATCTACAATACTACTTAACCAGTTTATTTAATCAATATTTTAATCGATTTAATCGAGTCTCAATGAAATACTGACATTATCTCTATCTCTCTTTTACACACACAAACAAACCATAAACTGATATACATTTTTTTTAAATTAGTAGGGTATATTAAACAAAAAAACTGAACAGATGCTAAACCGCACTCTAAGCTGGAGGATGCTCTCTCTGCGAGAGTAAGTTTCTGTAAAACTTCAAATAATAGCCAAGTAGACGCCTCTTTTACATGCCTTGGTGTGGCGACCAGGCCAGCTGACAGTCTTGCCTGGGCCCTGGACAAGATGATCTTATGGGACCCCCAGCACCCCCTATACGCCCAGATCTCTCATTTTCCCTTGCTCTTTCTTCTCCTGTTCCCCTCCTCTGCTCTTCCATCTTCCATGTTTTTATTTTATTTTTATAAAACACCATATATTTTACCCACACTGAATAAAAACACGTTTAAATGGGTAATTTTCTTTTCTGACATAGCCTACTGCAGTTCTTGTTAAAACACACTAGATATGAAAAATCTGTGCATTTTGGGCACTTTTTGTGTGAAATCATATTTATTTTTGTGTCCTTTAAAGTGTGCTTTCACTTTTAATTAAGCATGGACAGTGATCTGGCCCATTATCTGTTCACCGATGCCGACAGTGACACATTTCAGGCGGCTTTTTATTTCTCATCTCCATATATATATATCTAGTAATAAAGCTAGGGACTAGGAAAATGAATTCTTTGCTAATACTTCCTCATCATCGTGGAGAGCGCAGTTCGCACCGCTTTCTGATTTGCACAAGCGTGTGCTCTCCCGTGGCGTCTGTCGTTGCTATGCAACAATGAACTTGCGCTCCTCTAAAAACGAGCGTGCCGCGTCGCTTTTATGGGCTAATAGTAGATCCGGGAATAGCGCGCGGGTAGATGTTCACGCGGCTAGCTCTTTACCACACAAGAGAGCTCGACGGAAGAAAAAGTGTCCACCGTCGGGTGAAACGCATGCTATTTTTATCTACCCGCCACGGTGGCTGGTAGGTGAAGTGAATTTACCCGCCACAACACAAAATCACCCGCATTTGGCTGGTGGCGGGTGCTAATTTCCATCCCTGGCCCCTACACTGCCGCCAATAGGTTTGGCATAGTTATGATGGTGCTCGACGGCGTATTTATGCGGTTGTGTGAACGATGTTATTTTTGAAAACGGAGAGGGGGAAATATTCGTTTTGCTAAATACCCGGTTTTGTGTAAACGTGGCCTGAATGTCAGAATGGGAAAGAAAGGGGATTTAAGCAATTTTGAGCGTGGCATGGTTGTTGGTGCCAGACGGGTCGGTCTGAGTATTTCACAATCTGTTCAGTTACTGGGATTTTCACACACAACCATTTCTAGGGTTAACAAAGAATGGCGTGAAAAGGGAAAAACTTCCAATATGTGGCAGTCCTGTGGGCGAAAATGCCTTGTTGATGCTAGAGGAGAATGGGCCGACTGATTCAAGCTGATAGAAGAGCAACTTTGACTGAAATAACCACTCGTTACAACCGAGGTATGCAGCAAAGCATTTGTAAAGCCACAACACACACAACCTTGAGGCGGATGGGCTACAACAGCAGAAGACCCCACTGGGTACCACTCATCTCCACTACAAATAGGAAAAAGAGGCTAAAATTTGCAGGATAATGCACCATGTCACAAAGCTCGAATCATTTCAAATTGGTTTCTTGAACATGACAATGAGTTCACGTACTAAAATGGCCCCCACAGTCACCAGATCTCAACCCAATAGAGCATCTTTGGGATGT